ATTTCCAGTGTAAATGAGATCGTCAACATATAAGCACACAATCAGAATTTTCCCATCTTTACCCATTTTAACAAATAAAGTGTGCTCATAGGGACATTTTAGAAAACCTTCCTTCAAAAAATAAGCTTCAATACGACTATACCAAGCACGCGGTGCTTGTTTCAGCCCGTATAAAGCCTTTTTCAATTTGTAAACTTTTCTCACATCTTCAGATCTCACAAAACCAGGAGGTTGATCAATGAATACCTGTTCTTGAAGTTCACCATGCAAGAATGCTGATTTCACATCGAGTTGATAAATAGGCCATTCATGTTGTGCTGCCAAGGCAATCACTAATCTGATTGTGTCATGCCTTGCAACAGGAGCAAATACCTCTTTATAATCAATCCCAAATTCTTGCTTGTAACCTTTAGCTACCAAGCGCGCCTTGTATTTATCCACTTCTCCATTTGCCTTCAATTTGGTTTTGTAAACCCACTTCACTCCAATTGTTTTGTGCCCTTCTGGAAGATCAGTAAGTTCCCATGTATTGTTCCGTTCAATGGCTGCAATCTCCTCTCTCATTGCATTCTGCCATTTTGGATCATTTGCAGCTTCTTCAAATGTAGTAGGGTCACAATCTGAAAACAATACAAAATGAGTAAGTGGATCCTCTCCTTGGTCATCCCTAGTTACCTCATAATCAGCCATCCATGCTGGTCTTCTTCTAGTTCGCTGAGGATGCTCTGTTCCAGTTGTTGTGGATGAATCAGGAATAATATTTGAGCTAACTGGAATTTTCTGGTCATTCTCTGCAGATTGGTACTCCTGTGCACCTTCATCATTTTCATCGATGTTGACAGAAACTTGCTGCTCAACATGATTTTCATCCCATGGCCATAATATGTCTTCGTCGAAAACCACATCTCGATTGATAATAATCTTCCTAGTTCTGGGATTGTAAAGCTTGTAAGCCTTTGAATGGGCACTTACACCAAGAAAGACACACTTCTCTGCTTTATCATCTAGTTTAGTCCTCTTTTGGTTGGGAATATGAGCGTAGGCGATGCACCCAAATATTCTGAAGTGATCTACAGATGGTGATTGTCCACTCCATGCTTCTTCTGGTGTCATATTTTGAACAGAAAGAGTAGGGCTTCTGTTCAAGATATGGACTGCCCAATTGACTACTTCTGGCCAAAAACTCTTTGGAACATAACTTCTCCACAGAAGACTTCGCACCATGTCTAATATAGTGCGATTTTTCCGCTCACTAACACCATTTTGCTGAGGTGAAAATGATGCTGTCAATTGTCTTTTGATCCCCTCTTTTTCACAGTATGCCATGAATTCCTTAGATAGATATTCGCCTCCACGATCTGTGCGAAGAACCTTGATTGGGCAGCCTTTCTCCTTCTCGACAAGTGCTTTAAATTTTTTAAATGCACCAAAAGCATCTGATTTTTCTTTCAGAAAATACACCCAGATTTTCCGACTAAAATCATCAATGAAAGTGATAATATATCTATTACCTCCATTAGATGATGGCTTTATTGGACCACAAATGTCTGAGTGTATTAACTCTAATACCTTCTTGGCTCTCCATGATGTCTTCTGAGGAAATGGGGTACGTGGTTGTTTGCTAACAACACACTCTTCA